ACTCATTACCTGATTTAAAAATTGAAGACAGTATGTTTTTGGCATAAAAATGGACATGTAGGAAAAAATGGCACAGAATTCAGAATTTCAAAAACAACCCACACATACATGAATTGATTTTGAGCAAAGTAATCCAATGAGTAAAGGTCAGTCTTTCCAACAAATAGTGCTGAAATAATTGGACTTCATATTAAACAACAACAAAACCAGAATTCCTTGACACTTGTCCTTCACCAAATAGAAAAATGAATTAAAGTGATCAAATAAATAATACAGATAAAATATATGGATTTATGAATAGTAAAATACAGCATCCAGAAGATAAAAATCTTAACAGCTCAAAGTCTGGCCCTTATATCCTGATCAACATTAATTCTAATATTTTTCCTTTTTGACCAGGTGATACACTTTTGGCCATTCAAGCACCTTCTGGTACACAGCTGGAGGTACCTATTCCAGAAATGGTAAGTAGTATAGCTTTTAAGTAAATGGGAAAAATGGATTTCTTATCTCAAGAGAAATACATTCTCTTGAGCTGAACACGAGCTAATAGTTAACGTTTGAGTTACTGTTTTCAAGTTTTATATTTGAAAATATTGATATCTGAATTTGGATGTTGTCAGTGGTAGAATTATAGAAGTAACTGAATAAACTATTCAATGTTGATTACAAATTTAAAAAAATGTTTGACTTTATTTGATTTAGAGTTCATCAAGGAATGAGTAATGATTGTATTTAGGCATTTATGTTACAACATTTTATAGTTTCAGGATATAAATTACTTTTGAAATGGAGGGATTTTATATCTCTATAAAAAAAGTCATTGACTTTGTTCATGGTGGGTAACTCCAGGGGATAGAACTCGTGCTTGTAGAGAATGCTTGAGGGACTGCTAAGCATGGACAGATAGGATTACACACAGTGAAAAGTGTATGGCTGTCAGAATTCTATAGCTGAGAGTTTCTGATGATCAGTACTAGAGAAAAGCTTACTTTTTAGTGGCCAGTTGTTTAGAGCCATCAATATCCTGTTCTACTCATCTTTACATTTCAGCTTTATGAGTTTATGTTGTTGTATGATTTCAATTAGTACTTAATGCCTTTGCTTAATTTTTAATGTTTCAGGATAGCTTAAATATTAATATTTATTACTTTGTTTATACCCAATAATTTCAAAGGGTCAGAATGGACAAAAGAAATACCAGATCAATTTAAAGAGTCATTCAGGACCTATCCACGTGCTGCTTATAAATAAAGAGTCCAGTTCATCTAAGCCGGTGGTTTTTCCTGTTCCCCCACCTGATGACCTCACACAGCCTTCCTCTCAGTCCTCAACTCCAGTGACTCCACAAAAACCGAACATAGTAGCTCAGAACCTGCCTGAGCAACTTGTCTCTGAAAGAAGCCAGAATCTTCAGCAGATACCAGCTACAGAAATATCTTCAGGTGGGTTCAGGGGAAAGTAGAAGGGAAAATTTTTTAAAAGTAGAGGGGAAAATATGATTATTATGTAAGTTGGAGATTTATTATTTGTGATATTATTCTTGTCATCTAATATGGGAGGCAAAAGCATGAGTTTAATTTAATCAACATGTATTAATTTAGTATCTCTTATGTGCTTATGAGAAAAAGTTTAAAACACTCTTTAATTATATTGCCAAAGATTTGTTTTATATATGCGTGTACATATATATCAATATATACACAATTCAGAAATATCTAATAAGATATAATGTGTTTATGATTGTGTAAAGAACTGTTGATACTTAGCATGATATTTATGGGCATCAGGGTTTGCTGTTTCCCTTAGAATTCCATTTTTAGGATTAATTAAGTTAAATTTGTTCCTTTTAAGTTTACTTGGTAAGGTCATTATCTCAGTAAGTCTAGTATAAATTATTAAAAATGTGCTTTAACTACTTAAGAAAAATTGAGAACATAGTGACCTCCCATTTCTCCATGTTCTTTGTTGTACTTTTTTTTTTTAGGGAAGCTTAGTTTTAGAGTTGATAAATGGTGTCAACACCAATTACATAGGAACTCTTCTTTCCTATGTAATGCCTTTCTAAATTGTTTCAACTATGAGATGATATGTAACTAAAACACTAAACATTGGGTATCAGGAGATAGGAGTGACAATTCTTAAATTTATTAAAAAAAAAAAAAAAATGCCTTGGAACCCAGTGTTTTCCCTTGGTTCCAGGGCTGGGTCTATAACAACTTCTTACTGATTCCAAATAAAGGGAGTGTGATATGGAGTAGCAATGATTTTTTTTAATGAATGAATTAGTTGTGCTACTATAGCTGTCATGTTAGAAACTATTATACATAATGCAAATTGTTGTTTACCTATGGGATGCCTTGTTGCTGCTACTATGGGAGTTCAGAATAGTTAAAAAAGTGAAGTTGAGAAGACGTAACTAGACGTGGGATTACTTTTTTGTTCTTGTTGCCCATATTCTCTCCTTCCTTCCTCTGTATTTCTGAACCAGAAATAATAGAAATGCACAATTGAAGGTGTAGTCCTTAGAAGTTTTTAGTCTAATTAGCATGAAGTAAGCAGGCAATCTTTATATGCCTTAGGCATAATTATATGCACCAAATTGTATGTACCAATTTAACATTTCCAGAGTATTAAATTTTTTTTTTTAGTATTTGGTTCCTATATATGCACTTACATTTGGAAATAGTGAGGAAAATAATTTTGGGACAGATTAAAGAAAGCCTTGAACATCAGAGTAATGAGTTAAGACTTTAGCCAATGAACTAGTTAAGATCTGTAACAAAGGAAAATGGTACAATTAGAGCTACACAGTGGTGAGCACAGGAATAATGAACTAAGAAGATGCTTTGAGGAAGCAGAAGAGACAAGAGGCTATGGAGATTGAAAATTATTTGTGATTATGCAACTGTGCTGGAACAGTAAGGTCAAAATAATGTGATGCTACTGGGATTGGAGAGAGAAATCATGAACAGATTTTGAGAAATACAATTTAGGCAAAATACTTAACATTTCATGTGCGAGATAGATAAAGTGAATAGGAATAATGGAAAGTGATGTTGAAGTTTTAAGGTTGTGTGTCTCGGAGAATTATAACACCAGACTTTATAAAACTGAGTTTATTTTGGAAGACTAATTAGTCTTTTGGTCTGCATCTTGAGTTTGTAAGTTTAAAAGTAATGCCAGGCACAAAGTAGGTACTCATGAAAATGATCTTTTCACAAAATTCTAGTGAATTTTCTTTGTCAGTGAACCTGGTATTGTGACTGTGTGTTTAAATATAATAGCCTTTTTCTAAAGTTCATAAACAGACATAATAAAATTTGTCACATTTCTTTTTCCAGCAGGATCTCTCAGTGGAGATATCATTGATGAGTTAATGTCTTCTGATGGTAAGCAGTTTAAAATTATACTACTTTATTTAAATCAATAATACTTTCCTACTATTTTTAAGTGCCATGTGATTTAAGAGAAATGAAGAACCTTTATTTTCTAATTGCTTTCCTATGATACATGAAGATTCTCCCTTAATAAAGTACTTTATAGTAAATCAGAGCTATTATTCAGAATTTATTTCTCTTTGCTTGCATCTCAAGGGGAAGGAGTCCATAAAGGGAGATTTACTACTTTTACTAAATAAACTTCTAACTAGCACTTTGCATCCCTGAAGAATCTGGCCCAAGAAGAGTAAAATAGTATGTTGAAATCAATAAGTAAAACCCACACCATTATCAACCCACCAATGTGAATCACCAAACTATTACTAGTATTAGCCATCGCATTACCTAATATGAAATTAACTAAAATATACTAATTAATAGTTTCTCTCTGGGCTTCCATTTTTCTATTTAGTTCTTAGATTCAGAGTCCTGGTTCCTAACAAAGTTAGCAGAGACCTAGGAAGTGGTTGCAGTTAAGTTAGCAAGTGGTATAGTAATGACTTAAGAGAACATCAGCAAATTTTAAATCTAGTGCATACATCAGCAATATACTTCACAGAATTTTTAGATTATGTGTTTAAGTGATAAGTTCAACCAATAAAAATTTTAACCTTATTTAACCAATGTATAAATTGCCTTTATGTGAGAATCTTTCAAAGTTTATGTTAAAATTGGTCATTAATGATCATTATTTTATACGTAATTTTTAAAAAATCATGTGTAACCTAGGAGATCATTTGAATTGATATATTTGATACTGTTTTACGTTAAACATCATTATGCATCCTTAACATTGAGTTCATTCTTGTTTGCAGTGTTTCCTCTCTTACGGCTTTCTCCTACACCGGCAGATGACTACAACTTTAATTTAGATGATAATGAAGGAGTTTGCGATCTGTTTGATGTCCAGATACTAAATTATTAGATTCTATGGAAACTTGGGACTGTTATCTACCTCTAACTGTGTAACATTTTAGATTTCTTAATAACCTAAGTATTTAAAATAATGAATGTAACACCTTTTAGTTCACTGATTCTGAAGTGTTCTTCTCTAATATTTTCTTTTTTACTTCACAAAACTTCAACCATAAAAACAAAGGGCTCTGATGCGATAGGGGAAAAATGATTTAATATCTACCAGCCTCCCCTACAAACAATTAGTTACATTTTTGGATTTTAGTTTTCCTTCAATTCTGAATCCTTCTGTTTTCTCCTCTTATGAGAGGAAGATAAAAGTAGACTTCAAGACATCAAAACAAAAAATGTTGGCCAAGGGCTAATCACTGTTTGTCTAGTATTTTTACTGCCATGAAACGATTTCTGAATATCCTTCAATCCAAACAGACATTCACTGCCACTTATAAAATGAAGGATGTAAATGAGGATATGTAACTGTTTCAGTGAACAGATTTTGTGAAGTGCCTTCTGTTTTAGCACTTTAAGTTTATCACATTTTGTTGACTTCTGACATTCCACTTTCCTAGAGTATAGGAAAGATCTGTTTATGTAGTTTGTTTTTAAAATGTGCCAATGCTTGTACATTAACAAGATTTTTAAAAATAAAGTTGTATAAAACATTTAATTTATTGGTCTTTTGAAGGGGAATTTGATACATCAGCATTACATTACAACTGAGCCATTAATCTTGTAGCTTCATCAACATTAACTGGTTCATTTTCATGATGCTGAAGACTCTGAAGGGAGAAAAGTATTAGTTAAAAATTTAGATAACAACAAAAATAATTTGTGTATAATCTATTATCCAGTTTAATTTTCTCTTTCTCTCTCTTTTTTTTTAAACTGAGGACCTAAACTACACTGTGCCACTAAATAAACTACATCCCCAATCACTTATTTTTTTGAAAAAGGATCTTGCTAAATTTCCAAGGCTGGCTTTGAACTTATGATCCTCATGCCTCAGCCTCCCAAGTAGCTGGGATTACAGGTGTGCACCACTATGCCTACCCATTTTAATTTCTTCTAGTCCACACCTTTTGGAAGTAGAACAATAAATTCATATATTCAGTCTAAATGTTTCAGAGTCTGAATATGAATGCATATGCCATACATACTACAAAGCCAAATATACTATAAAGCCAACTACTAAAAATTTCATTCAATTTATAGGCTTTGAAAATGGGAAGTTTTCATTTTTAATGATTTCTACTTGCCAGTTCTTTCTGGAGAGGTTCCAGAGAAAGGCCTCTTGAGAAGTGTGCAAGTTCCTTCTGTATGTTCACAAAAGCTTTATTCACTCGGTTAACTTTTTCATTATTCACAATGTTTATCTATTAAAAAAAGAAAAAAGGGAGTAATCCACAATCTCATAATAATTAGATAAAGTGTATTCATCTTTACTCTTGTTAAAAGTGTTACTGATGCTACCAAATTGTGGGACAAATTCACACTAAATCTGTTATAGTCTTACCTGGAAATTTTAGCTAAGAGGTTTTGGATTTTTAAAAATGATGGATATGTCTCATTATCTAGACTTCATTGGCATAAGCAAGCCACAATATGTGACCAGTCTTTCGAGGCTGACATTGCTATCATTCTTCATCTGTAAAACAAATCTGATTTAAATGCTTTTAGTCCCCTTTTTTCAGTAGACTCTGAATCCTTGACCACCTTATCTTAATGGAAGCCCCCAGAAGCCCTCTTCCAAAGAGGTGGGGGTAGTGTTCTGACATTCAGTGATACTATCAAAACAATTTCTTTCCTTAAAACCTTCAGCTCCTTTGCACCATAAGCATGAGAACATTCTGGTACCCAATACTCATTGCTGTCACCTACCAACACCACAATTATTAATCCTTCATGAAATATTTCAAACCTTGGCTCACTTACCCCTCTCATGCCTAGTGACATCAAAAATCTAATCATATGGCCTCTGAATTTCTCACCTCCTGGGATCTTTTCCACTATCTACCTCAGCTACTCTTATATATCTTCTGCAACTACTTCCCCTCCTTATAGCTCATTTAGTTTATTAACAATTCTTAAACCTCCCAACAATTTCATGATTTTTCATCTCTTCTATCCTAGTTTTCTCCTCAGCCAGCACAGATTTCATGACCATCATCTTATCACTTAACTTCTTTACACTCAACTTCCCCTCTCATCTTTCCCTTGATCAAACTTGCTTGGCAACCTGGTTAAGCCCAGAACAGAAGCTAGAAAAAAGTCACAACCAACTGACTGACTTTACTTTAAATTCATCACCACAAACTTCAGTTTACGACTCATATATAATGTTTGGCAATCTTACAACCTTACCTCGCAAAGCCTATTTGTCTTGGCTTCATTGTCAACTATGAAGATGATCTGATGTAAAACTCAACTTCAAACCCATGGTATCACTCAGATTTATTTCCTTTACAGAATTTACAAAGCCAAACTGCTGGATTAAAAGCTTAACTCGGCTTATGAGTTAAAAGAAAATATCTCTTTTCTATGACTACTGTGAGAGTCACTGACTCCTGGATAACTGGCTCTACCTACTATTTAATTTGAAAACATTTTCTTAAAAGAATGTTAAAGATATCTACTTGAAGAAATTACTCAAATATTTTAAAATATAAAGAAGGTAAAGAAACTCCTTTTCAAATTTTGCACTTCAAGAAACAAAATAATTTATCTTCATTTGAGTCCCAAGATAAAATTTCTGAGGAGAAAAATAAAGGGTACCGGCTGACATTCCATATGTGAGCTGTATTAGTAGGTTCTTGAATAGAGGGTTCAGAAATAAGAACTGTTTTCCATATAGTAGTTTTTATTTTAAAAAATGATTTTAAAGTTATCAAACTATTACATTATGCCTCACATTTAGACTTAAAATGCCTTTTTACATTTGAATTTGAGAAAGGAAAACATTTTTCTTCCATTTTTTGTTTTTTAAACAAAAGAACTTCTGATTTCAATAGAATTCAGCTGTTCGGGAGCTTTACCACTGTGGTTTCCTTGCAAACAATAACAAATACTCACCTTCTTAAGATTAGTAGTAACTGGTTTTGCTTTGTTTTTAGCCTTAAAGTTTTTTTGGCTGGCTATGTGAAATACATTCCGGGACTTCTGCCCTCTTGATTTGTTCTTGCCCATCTTCTAGGAAGAAAGAAAAGGAGTTCAATTAAACTGCCTACCGTTATGAACTAAGTTCATTTAAGTCTTAGAATTCTTACGATACCTTTATTTTAAAACTATCTTATTCCTGATTATTTAAAAAACTACTTATATATTAAACAATTTCAAGGTCTTTCCCTCTGACTAGATTTTTTTTGCTCTATTGAGTACAGCATATTTACCAATCCTTTAATATATCCCCAGTATCTGACCATAGGAGGTACTCAATTAATGTATGGTAGTTGAATTCATACTATCAACATGACTTTTTCTCTACAGCATCTGACAATGTTAACCATTATCAACTACCTCTCTGCTTGTGGACATACTAACAATACTATTTTGGTTCCTATCATACTGCTTTGTATCCTTGATTTCTTTCTCCTTTTTACTCTCATTTTCGCCTGATCATCCCATCAAAATTAGGTTCTTGCCCTAAAAACTTACTGTCTTTCCTCTGTAGCTAAACACATTTAGCCTTGAACTTTAGAAACAGCTCTCACATCTGATTTAATAAAGCTTGTGAGGAACATTTTTTAAAATAATAGTTAATACTGAGCTTTTGGTATATGTGCAAGCACTATGTTAACATTTTATGTGCTATAACTCATTGACTCCTCACAACAACTCTTTGTGAGAAGTACTGTTATCCCCATTTCACAGATAAAAAACTGATGGAAAGAGAAGTAGAAGTGCCCCAAAATTACACTGTTAGTGCCAGGGGATACCAGAATTTAAAGCCACGTAGACTAGATCAGTGCAAATGTTGGGTGATATTGCTTTTCAGATATAAATAAAAAATCAGTTCAAAAACATGGTGTAGTATTGTCTACAGCCGCAGTTGCTAGAATCATTTTTTTAGACCATAGATTGGCAAACTGTGCCTATGGACTAAATCAGACCAAGCACCTATCTTTGAAAGTATTTATTTAAACAAAACTTCATCCATTCATGGTGTGCTGTCTATAGTTGCTTTCCCATTACAACTATGGCCCACAAAGCCTAAAATAGCTAGTATCTGACTCCTTACCAAAAGTTTGCCAACCTCTTGCTTAAGCCAGTTCACAATAGTCTACCTTGTACATTGCCATGTGATGAACCTTCCCAATTTTAAAAACCTTCACTGTCTCTACTAATATAGAAAGAGAAATATGCCTTGGCCTGGCATCTAAATCTACCAAATATTAACTCCTATATCTACATACACTGCACTAACCATCCTGGCCTAATTTCGCTAAAGGCAACTTCCATATTTTTCCTGTCTCTTCTTTGCTCATATTTTATCTCTTGACTGAAATTCATATCCTCCATTAATGTAGCCTTAGAAAACTTCACAGAGACAGCACTGCTATTGTACTCCAATGGTACATGTTCTTTAAAGAAGTGAATACAGTAGAGAAGACATGATTACACAAGAAGCAGAAAATACACATTAAAACCATTCAAATACGGTAATTTAAAATTTACAATAGTGACTAAAACCCATCCATGCACCTAGTGTTCGTTTATTAATCAACTGCTATGTTGGGTACAGAACAGAACTGATATGTTTATGGAACACACACAGCCACATAATTATAGTATTATATATTACAAATAATATATATAGCTGGGCACGGTGGCGCAGAACTGCAATTCAGGGCCTTGCCTGTAATCCCAGCGACTCCAGAGGTTGAGGCAGATTTGCAAATTTAAGGCCCACGTTGGCAAGTTCAAGGCCAGCCTCAACCACTTAGTCTCAAATGACATGTGGATACACGTAAGTCAGTGGTAAAACCTCTTGAGTTCAAACCCCCATACCGTAAAACAAACCAACATAAAATTATATATCCTTGTCGGGGAACCCTCCTAATTTTAAGAAAAATTCTCTAGCCAGGCGTGGTGGCGCATATCTGTAATCCCAGCGACACCAGAGGCTGAGGCAAGAGGATCGCAGGTTCGAGATCGGCGTCAGCAATTTAGCGAGGCCCTGTCTCAAAATTTTTAAAAAAGGGTATGACTCAGTGGGGAAGCGTCCCTGGGTTCAATCCCCAGTATATAAAAAAAGAAAGAAAATTCTCTGATAACCACATGGAAATCGAGATCGTAACAGACAGTGCCACACTGGGAACTTGCTAAGGGGTGGCACCAGGATTTCCGGCCTGGGTCTGTAGGCCTGCTATCCACTAGGGCTGCCAGAGGGAGAGCATGATGAAACCGAGCCCTCCGGGCCACAGCGGCACGATGCCGGCTCAGGCCTCCCTTAAACCCAGCGAATTCAAAACTAGCCAGTCAAAAAAATTTCATTTACCTCTCACCAGATCTTCGATACCAACGTGCAGCGGCTCAAGCTCCAGGTGACGCCATCTGCAGGCACACTCTTCAGGAAGTTCCGGTGGGAGGATCCACGCAAGGTTCCTCTCCCAAGTCGTAGCTCCGCCCACCGGGCTAAGCCCCGCCCAGGAGACGGAGTCAACCACCCTGCGGGTTGGCACTCAGAGAAGTCCCGCCCACAGGGCGAGATCCCGTCCAACCTTAGCCTTCACACAAGAGGCCCCGCCCACTTAGCGTAGTTCCCGCCCACAGCCTTGCAGAGCGAATCCCCGCCCTTCGAACGCGTGCTCCACCCACAGGGTGGAGTCCTACCCTTCTCAGCAGGTCGGTATACAGAGCGATGCCCCGCCCACCGACAGGAGTCCCGCCCATGGAGCGGATGAAGCCCCGCCCGCCAAGCCATATTCTACATCTGCTAGCAGGTTCCCACCCACCTGGCGTAATCCCGCTCGCAGACTGTGTTCTACCGAGCCAGCTGTCGCTAGCCGCGTAAAGCCCCGCCCACAGAGCAAAGTTCCACCCACCGAAGGAAGTCCCGCTTCTATTGCGTCCCTTGCCTTTCTGGAAATGGGTCTCTGCGCAGTCTGAGGTTTGGGAGGTACGGCTAAGACTGGTGAACTTTCTGGGGTAGGTTCGTGCACGGAAACTGTCTGAGGTGTGTTTGAGTCATCTGAGCCGTGAAGACCTCCTACCAGTAATCTAGCCTCAGCCGCTGCTCCTGGTTAGCTCTGCCCGGAGCCCCAGGAGGTGGCGCTGCGGTCCTCCGGTGGCATCCCTGGCTTGGCTCATCCCTGGCTTGAGTCTGGGAAAGGTCTAAAGCTATCACTCTTAGGGGAACATTTGTAATGAGCAAAAGTTAAAATGCTTTTCTCATTGTAACTTCCTTCCTTCAAAAAGAAAATTTCTGACTGCCCATTAGAGATACAAGGAACCAGTCACACATAGAATATAAAAACAAGTACTAGGTAACAGAAAGATAGAAGAAACCATTTTGCCTGCGGATTGTGTGTGTCTGTGGTTACCATATATAAACGTTCTGGGTTGAAGTTTTTGGAAAATTGACTCAATTCTTACAAGAGGAAATCCCTATTAAAGCTAAAAGTTTTCACATGTTTCTATACTTTTTATGTCATAGGAAAAGCCAGATTTTGGAAAAATGTTGGCGTACTGACATATATATGTTGTTTTGTAACTTACAGCCTACACGCTGCTTTAAATAAGACTCCTTTTTTTTTTTTTTTTTTTTTGCAAGTGAGGGTACAACTAAGGTTAAGAGTTTAATCCTTTTGCTGGTAGTCTCACAACTTCTAATTGATAAAGCCAGACTAGAATCCACCTGAGAAGGCGGATTTTTTCTGCCCTATCAACTATTTACCTTAGAAAAGTCCTTTTTCTGCCCTATTAACTATTTACCTTAGAAAAATAAGTCACTTTTTAATAAAACCTTTTATTATGTTTATGCCTATCAAAAAAAAAATAAGGAATGTTAGGCCTAATTACCTATCAGTGTATGTTTATTCGTATTTTGTGTTCTTTCTAAAGATCACCTTCTAAAAATACCTTAAAGTGATGGTATCAAATGCCTAAAATGTGAGGGACCAAAACCAAAATAAAACCAAACCAAAGCTACAGAAAACCATTAGATTATTTTACAAGAGCAGTGGTATTGACACATACTGAAGGAAATAAGACAGGCATAACTATAGTTTCTTCAATGTGAAGTTATTGATATTCAGGCAGAAAACAAAAAGATTTAAAGGAATGACATTACAGTGTTTAAACCTGTAGGCTCTAGCTTTTTTTTTTTTAATTTAACCTTTGTCTTATTTCTTTATTTACTTACTTATGGTGCTGAGGTTTGAACCCAGGGCCTCATGCTTGCTATGCAAATGCTTTTACCACTGAGCCAAAACCCCAGCCCAGGGTCTAGCTTTTATATTGAAATGGTGATATGAAGATACACAGATCAAGGAAATAACTTTATTATACAGACAGACAAGAGTAGAGGCATTATATAAAGTGAGGAGGCATGGGTTTGTTTCACCTCTTCCACCAACCAAGAATGTAACCTTGGAAAAATTATTTCATTTCTTCATGCCTCCTTTTTTTCTTATGTAGATGGCCACTACACCCAATTCAAAGAACATTTATCATCTGCTCAGCATCTCCTTCTGGGTACCACTCTTCTTCCATCAAGTCCTGGTTGGGCTAACAGTTCATCTTCCTCCTCTAAGCATTTTCAAAATAGAGCTAATTCAGCAAAAGTTGGAAGAAAGATCCTTCCCTCTATTTCTCAGTTACCTGAGCTGAAACAATGTTTTTTTAGGGGGAGGGGGCATTAAATTGCCTTTGAAATTTTAAAAAATTCTTATACCTTAAAGAATCTTGATTCTTTTCTGTCTACTTACTTCATAGGATTATTGTGCAGTTAATGAAATGCAAAACAAGATAGCATAAGATATTACTAAGACAAAAAAGGAGCATATTAACTCTCTAAAAGCCATATTTTCCTACAAATCAAATGAACATATAAAAAGAAAAATATTGCTCGAAGTTTTTAAAAAAGTTTTAAAAAATTCATGCTAAGACCATATTTCCAGTTTTTCTAACAATCTCAAAGATAAGTAAAATCATAAATGGAAAAAAAAAAAACCTTTCCAAAATCTTGGTTTTCCTGCTGAGATTCATATGCTGGCTCCTAAAAGAATTGCCCCAGGAAGCAGTTTAAATGAGTAAACAAAGGTAATTAGGGAGAAGAAAATGAGAGTACACATAAATAATTACAAACTGTCTATAACAAAACTCAAAGTCCTTGACCTAAACAAAGCCAGTTTTGTACAAATGATACTGCAGAACAGTTTCATCTATTCAATCTATTCTGCCCAATATTCAGTTTCTTTCAATCAAAACAGTTTGAAGACCTAGGCTCTGTGGGCTCTTAAAGGAAGCACATGGCACATTTCTTTCTTTTTTTAAAGAGAGCACAATCACCTGGATTGAGTGTACAACAAAATGATGATTTTTGACAGAAAGTGGTAAGGACTATGATAAATGAACAAAAAATATGCTACTTATGGAAGAAAATAATTCTGAACTCTGGAAACATCCATGTAAAAGTTCTCATCTGATTGTCTTCCACTAGAAAATGGCCAACTATAACCCAAAGGCCAGATCTGTACTGCTTATTTTTATACAACCTACAAGCTAAGAATGATTTTACATGTTTTTAAATTATTTTTTAGTTGTACACAGACACAATATCTTTATTTTTATTTATTTATTTTTATATGGTGCTGAGGCTAGAACCCAGGGCCTCATGCATGCAAGACAAGAGCTCTACCATGATTTTACCATGATTTTACATTTTTAAATACAGAAAATTCAAAAAAATACTTTCTATTATACTTATAAGCTTTCTATTATATTCTTTGTGTATGTGTGTGAGGGGGTGGTTACTGAGGATTGATCCCAAAGCCTCATGCATGCTAGGCAAGTGCTAGACCACTGAGCTACATTCACAGTCCTACATTTTTATTTCAGTGTCCATAAATAAGGTTTCATTGGCACATAGCCACATTCATTGTTTATGTACTATCTGTGCCTCCTTCATGCTATAGTAGAGGTGAATCACATAGCCTGCAAAAGCTAAGATATTTACTACCTGACCCTTTACCAACTATAATTTTTTAAAATATTTTTTAGTTGTAGTTGAACACAATACTTTTATTTTATTTATTTATTTTTATGTGGTGCTGAGGATCGAACCCAGGACCTCGCATGTGCGAGATGAGTGCTCTACTGCTGAGCCACAATCCCAGCCCTATAAAACGTTTTAAAACTTTATCGGCCTGCATAATAGAAGATGAACAATATGGTGAAGTATTACTTTTATAAGTATGATTTTTATACTCAAAGGTATGGAAAACTTATAAGAATGAAAGGCATTTTTCTTTCCAGCATTCCAAGAAGGCAGATCAATCTTTACATCGGCAATTTGGATTCCTTTGCCTATAATGGTTCTCAATTGTTTTCATGCTTCAGGGCTGAAAGTGGAAGATCTCAGATATGTAGAAAACACTCTTACCTGAATTCTTCTTAAGAAGTGGAAAAGGGAAAAATGGCTTAAAACTGAGGGAGAAGGTGAGCCTTCCCCGAGACTGAGGAAATGGTTGGGAGAAAGTGTGGTTCAGAGATTTCTGTGATTGACCCTTATGTCTCTGTGGAATATACCACATTGGCACCAAGAAGCATCACAAAGGGATCAAGCATTATGTCTTCAAATGAATTTGGACATTGGCCGAGTTAATTGCTATGATGTCAAATTATACTTTTTACTTTTCCCCCATCCTTCTACAATCATCATTTGACACTCCATTACAAAAAAAAAATGTTTTATTCTCTACTTATTTATTTATATTACTATGGGCTCATCAGTTGCTAACTTATTATCATAATTCATTTTGATGGTCCCATTTATCATATTCAGCCAGTGAATGCTCCTTTAAGCACCACCTGTCTGCATAATTTTGACCTATTCCAATCACTCTTTGCTTCCTCATTTGCTCGCATGACCAAAAAAAGAAAGGAGGAGAAGGAGAAGAAGCATTCCAGGTTCATCTAGTTCATTAGTTCTTTCTCTTAGAATCAGTTATTTCTCTATAGAAAAAGAAGAAGATAGAAGAAGGAGAAACAGAAGAAGAAGAAGAAGAAGAAGAGGAGGAGGAGGAGGAGGAGGCATTCTAGGCTCATCTTGGACCTATGCTTACTGGAATAAGTTCTGTGCCCTAGAATCAGTTATTTCTCCATGGAGCTCTGGTTTCTTTTATTGAAAAATTATATGAAGAAATCATAATCAGAGTATTGATGCTTCCATATCTTTGCAGTGGGCAGAGATGGGTAACCTATTCATGTTTGCATGTACTGTTTTGTCTATCTGCCTGTGTATAAATATTCACATATCTCACCAACTGTATTTATTCTATATGTACAAACCATGAGTTCATGCTAAAACCATAGCATGGGGTTTAAATTAAATACCATAGGGTTTATTTTAGTTTTCTGTCATTCTTACCTATTTTTAATTT